CAATTATTAAGAATAAAAACTGAATTTTATTATATATTTTTTTCTAGGAATTGCATTGAAATTGGGGAGGGTGTGCATATTTATTCTAAAACAAAGCAGAGAATGTCATAGATCATTGGAGAGTGGGAGAGAGAAAGACCGCGTGAGAGGGGAATTAGAGAGAACGAGGGAAAGAAAGAGGATGCAAGAGATGATGGATGTTGAAAGATGAGGTGGTGAAATTCTTATTTTAATCCTCTGTATATTTATGAGAAGTAAAAAGATTTCTTATTTCCAATGTTAATGGTCCGTATATATGCTCTAATAATTGAACAATGTTGTTCTCATGCCACATGGCATTGCTCTTTATCTTAGTCTAGTCACAACGACAATCAAAGAATGACAGATTTATTATGACATTCCGACCACAAGTATGTCCCGAGTCGGCGCTCTCCGAACAAAGGCGCGTAACGATGTTAAATATACGCGATGTTTTGAAACTTTGGTGTTGATTGACATGACGCCTCATTTCAGATAAGCAATCGACCTATACAGTGCGCCTCAGAAAACACGAAGCCGAGAATTGTCGATATTTTATCATAACTTAGTCGTAATTATAATTCATAAATAACACATATTTGTGAAGCTTAGATCCTCTTCTTTCATTTGATGCAACTCATATAATGCATATTTCACGAATGAGCGATTGAAAAATAATTTGAAGACAGGGTCCTTTGATGAGGCATTAATCCTCATTACCAGGTCCCTCGGAGAGGACCTAAAGCCGTCGGTCGTCTGGTTGCTTACTAACAAGCATTTATGCTTTCTTAGCCAGTCAGGTAAAATAACCACCACCACAGGTTATCAAAAAGTCATTTGGCGAACGGTATCTGATTTTCTAGAAAGTTCACTTTCTGTCCTTTTATAAATTAAACCTCGGCTCAATCAGGAAAAATGAGCCAGGAATAACAAATTTCTGTTTGTTTAAAGTAATGCTTGCACTTCCATATTTTGATTAAACGAATTCGTTTTCACTGGCTGCCTGCCGTAGCAACATACATAGTTTAATATGGAAATGCAAGCATTTACTTGAAACAAACGGAACTTCTTTATTCCTGTACAAATAATGTGTCATTCATTTATTATAATTTTGATTAAGTTATCATAAAACATCGATAATTCTCCGTTTCGTTTTCTCATGGGACGCACTAGCTAAAGAAAGTGTTGATTAAAGAAAGAGAGAGAGATGATGGTAGAGGTAGAGAGAGATTAGAAAGGTGACAGTGTGGATGAGAGAGAGAGAGAGGGTGAGAGGGCTATAAAAAAGGGTCGTAGAGAGGGCCCGGAGAGAAAGATAACAGATAAAAAAGGAAATAGTGTTGATTTGAGATACAGATGATTTTACTACTATCGAGAGAGAGAGATTCAAGGGGTATTACCCGAATTAAATTGTATGTATGCCTATAACAACAATCCTAAAAGGTGAATTGTTAGGTCTGTTTTTGTATCAGAACGAAAATTCTCCTCACCATCGTTCAGTCGCAACAATGACATACAAATAATGACAGATTTATTATGACATTCCCGCCGAAAGTCGGCGCTCTCAGAGCAAAGGCGTAGCTAGGCTGACAATCGTAAATATATATCGCGGTGTGTCTGAACTTGGGTGTTGATTACAACATTTCCAAGATGCGGTTATCAATCCAACTTTCTACTTCATTTGAGCCTTTTCATTGTTCTCACAAAAAGATCGATAGAAATGTCAGAATGTCTATTACCCTTCCCAGGGTTCAATGGGCGGCACAGGCTATGCAAATTAGAAATTGTTCTCACGCTGCTGGTCGCTACAAGGCGACCGCGGCGTAGTATCATTACATTCAAAATCAGTTTTCATAAGACCAAACGTCCAAAATAGATGACATGAAAAAAATACATAACAGTCTCGTAAAGTAAATATTTCAAATTAACAAAACATGCATGTCTACGTCCCTGTACCTCTCTCTCTCTCTCTCTCTCTCTCTCAACCTCAAACGGACCTCTGTATTGATTGCGATTCACACAATTTTCATTTCATTTACATTTCATTTAAAATGGGGAAAGCCTTCCGATCGCTGGAAGGAAGGAATTTTCCTGGCAAGGTGATTAAACGAGTTCTTGCCCCTCTTTATAGCGCGACAAATAGAAACCCTATCCCTTTCAAGAATTATGTAATATTATGTAACCTAATCCCCCCACTCTTGCCCCTTTCATCGGGGACGCATTTGGGACGCTCGCGGTCTCTAAACAAAGGAGGGTAGGCGATGAATGGAGAAGGTTTTAATCCCCCGTACCTTACGCGTTCAGGACAGGCGCGTTCGCTAAACAAAGGAGGGAACGCCATCGTCCTGAACCCGGACGAACGCGAGTGATAATAAAGTTGCCTTCCCTAAGGTTGTTCCTAACCAATTTCAGTGTAGCTTAAACAGTTAAACATATTCTATATGTGAATTAAATTGAACTAAATAATGATTAACATAGACTTTTTTAATTTTCATATTTGTATACCGGTAATGTCCATGTAACAGTAGGGTTGTTTCTAATTCTAACCAATTTCAGTGTAGCTTAATCTCTGGCAAATTATTTTCAAAGTGATCGGTATTGTCAAGGTTATGACTCATGCGAGAGGAAACGAGACTTGCATGACTTGGTTTAATTCATACAGATCGTTCTGTAATAAATCTTTTAGATGAAGTTGAACAATGACACAGGAAAACATCCATAAAACATTATTTATGAGTAGTCATTTACTGCCTGGCATCAGGATAGGCCTATGTATGTAAAGAGGTTCCCTATTTTAAAGTCAAACAGGTTTGCCTGTAATGTGCATGTGGTACATGTAGGTGTTGTAGGTGGGTGGTTTAAAAACATTAAAATGAAGATAGGGAGGTCGTGGGTTCAATCCCTGGCACAGCATTTATGTCCTAAGCAAGGCATTTTATTGACATTGCTTCTCCCCTCCCAGGTGATGGGTTCTAGGTGGGATGCTAATGTCATTATAGTTCAGCATCATGTACAGTACGTCTGTGAAACAGTGCCTTGATGGAATTTCCCCCAACGGAGTAAAGATTAAATATGGACATGCATTTGGCGTGAAATCCTGAATCCGATAATAATAATAATAATAATAATAATGTTCAATTCTTATATAGCGCATATTACAAAATTGTCTCTATGCGCTTAGATACGAGAGAGAGAGAGAGAGAGAAGAGAGAAAAGACATGAAGAATATTGAGCTTTCACCGTTTAGCAATTTCAATTATCAAATCAATTACAAAATTCACATGTTTTCTACACAAATTTAAATTTAAGACTGGCATGATCGAAACAGATATGTTTTTAAGTCGGATTTAAACTGATGTAGTGAAGGACAACGTTTTAGAGACTCTGGAAGATTGTTCCATAGTTTTGGTATGGCATACTGGAAAGCACGGTGCCCATATGTTTTGGTGGATGTGACTAAAGGTGTGAATGTATGTTTTGAAGATGAACGGAGATTGCAAGTTGGTAGATGACTTGAAAAAATATTTTACAAATACATGGGAGTATCATTGTGTTTACATTTATATGCAATTGTTAAGAGTTTAAAGCTGATTCTATCCCTTACAGGTAACCAATGTAAATCATATAACATGGGAGTAATGTGATCTCGTTTACGTTTACGTGAGACAATTCTAGCTGCCCAATTTTGAACTCTTTGGACCTTGTCTATGAGAGAATCTGGCAAACCAAACAACAAACTGTTACAATTGTCAATACGACTCATAACAAATGCATGAACTAGTTTTTCTGTTGTGGCTTGATCAAGGTAACGACTTAATTTGCCAATTTTGTGAATTGCATAAGAAGCTGACCAAAACATATTGCCAACATGTCTTTTCAATGTTAGTTGATCATCAACCATGATTCCCAAATTTCTGGCATAGCTTGAAGGTTCAAGAGGAGGTCCATTGAACGTTATGGGTGGCAGCTGACTTCTGGTTCTAAAACGTGATGATATATGCAACAACTTAGTCTTTTCCTCATTAATCTTAAGACCATTCATTGTGGACCATGATTTGATTTCATTTAGACATGATTCAATTTTTGGTATAACTGTACATATTTCATCTCCTTTCAAAACTGTATACAACTGTGTGTCATCAGCATAGATGGCATAGTTGAAACCATTCGCAGAAATAATGTGACCAAGGATTCTTTAACAGTACCTTTAACAGTACCTTTAACACAGTTAGAGACAATCCAGGGGGTTGTTTCACAAAGATCCTAAGTTGAACTTATCTCTAAGTTGGACTTAAAAATTATGGAAAGCCGTTAGCATCTATGAAAATATTTTGGAAAATTTATTTTAAAAAGACATAACATTTTGATTTAAATCATTCATGTTTTCTAGTATCGAGGAGATTTCATGTTTTTGATGTGGAATTTATAAAAAGTCAAAAATACTTGAATTTGTGTGTTTGAATATATTCAATTTTAAGGCTACAAATGGCTCTCCATAATATTTAAGTCCAACTTTGACTTGGGATCTTTGTGAAACACCCCCCAGAATACTAATACAGTCAAACCTGTCCTAGTGGCCACCTGTCTACAAAGGCAACAGGTCTGTCTGTAGTGGACATCTGTATTTCCTCCCTCCAGGAAGGACCTGTCTAGAGAGGCCACCTCTGTACAGTGGCCACTTTTTGTGTCTCCTTTGTTTGGCCTTTACTAGAAAACCAATCTCGACTAGCACTTGTGCTAACTTTTGGTTTTCTTTTAGCAACAACTTGAACTTTTGTCTAAATGTGTTTTATGTAAGCATTAATTAAGCTTTTGCAGTAATTCATTGTTTTGTATATTATGTACAGTTTGTATTTTATTGTTTTGCCTTGCATACTTTGTGTTATGATGTACATACATTTTCTTGTTGTTAATAAACTTCAAATTTCAACTTCAAACTAGACATGTTTGACTGTAAATCCTCTTCTCTGTCGTTTACACAGGTGGTCATACAGCCTACATGGAGAGCAGTGTCATGCACTGGACTATCCTGGGCTCCATCTTTGAGCTGGCCTGCCTGGGTCTGTTCAAGATGCTGTTTGTCTTCTACGCCTTTACAAAGATGGAAGACGTCTCCCTGGCTCTCCTGGACTTCCCCTTTGACGCATCTCTCAGATCCTGTAAGAAATCGAGCCATATCTTCACCATCTTCTTCAGTCTCCTCAGCTTGGCCTACACAGCCACCAAGGTAATCACTTTAAACTGTTACCCAAACCTAAATTGAACAGAGTAAAATCAGATTAAATTTTCCTCTGCATAGTTATTGAGACTACATCGCCAGAAGATAGCTTGTAAAGTAATAATGATTAAGGTACTCATTTAAGATTTTAATTGCTGCTAAACTGTCTGATGAGAATCAGGCAGATGTTAAATGTGGCACTTCTGGCACTCGGCAGAGGATGTTGTATACATGTGTGATGTTCATTGTAGAAATGATTTCTTTTATTTAATTCAGAAATTATTTCTTTTATTTCATTCATGGGAGCTTTGTAGTGAGCTTTCCTACATGTAATTGTTATTTGTATTATTATAATTGTTACTTTTTATGGTTTACCAGAGCCCTTTTTGAACTTGCAAGAGGTACATCATTTTCTGTTTCTCCCTACAGTGTATGTATTTTTTCACTGCTTGTTACACAGAATGGCTTTGTCTTGAATGCCATTCTCAAAGATCCTCATGTTAAAACTTACGCATGTCACCCACAAAACCTTGGTCATCTCTTTAGTAGTCTTCTTGTTAGAGTGTAGAGAATGTGATTTTTCCTATCTTTTTCTATCTTCTTGTATTGTCGTGGGGCCTCATCTAGTTTAAATGCCATTCTCAATGACCCCAAACATGAACTGATGCATGTCACCTACGACGCCCCGGTCATCTCTTCAATGGTATCCTTGCTAGAGTTTAGAGAATTGATTTGTAACTTTTATTTTCTTGTATTGCAGGGTGGCCTCATCTTAAATGCCATTCTCAATGATCCCAAATATGAACTGATGCATGTTACCTACAACGTCCTGGTCATCTCTTCAGTTGTGTTCTCCTTCTTGGAGTTAATCACAGCGTTGACAGGACCTCACTTCATGCGTAAGCTACAGCTCATCCGGATTGAACACACAGTCAATGACGAGGATGAGGAGAAGGAGAAGAAAGGGAGCTCAGCTAATCTGGGCAGAGTGTTGGCTCTCGCCAAACCTGTAAGTGTCCTTTGGCAAGACATTAATCTACATTTGCCACACCATACCCAGGAGAGAAATTGGGACCTGGTAGGATGAAGAAAGCCTTTGTCATAGAACCTATCTATATGCCCTCATGGTGACCGTATGGTAGGAATAATCCCCAGGTAGTGTAAATTATGCACACTAAATCCAATGTCGGGGAAAATTACAGTATCTGTAAAACGCTTAGAGACAGTACTTTGTATTAAGCATTGCATAAATCCAGATTTATTACTATCATCATAAAGCCCTAACCTAGTACGTACCTGTCAATGAGCACTGTTTCTGATGAAATGCTAGAAGTGTGGGGGAAACTAAGATTTATAAAAGAATGAACTAAAATATTGAAATCAAACAAATATCTCTCTTTAAAGATGTCAATTGTGGGTGATTTTAATATCACCTAAGGGTGTTTACAAAAAGCATACAGAAAAGAAGAAAAAAATCCAAAACATTCATGTTTTACTTTTAACAAAACCTTTTAGTATAACCTTAGTATAACTTTTAGTATAACCAACCTTTGATTAAAAGTGTGGTTATAGTTATTGATATTGGACAAATTACATTTCAGATTAGGGCTGCACAAAATTCTAATCCCAGAAAACAATCTGGTCTATGTGCAACATTTAACAAGTGTATCAATCATGAAAGAATATTGATTCAGAATGAAATTGAATTCGCTAGTTTAGTCTATTGTGCCACCGTTTTCACACATTTGTCATTCTACAATAGCTGACCCTTGCTTTATACTGATGAATATTCAAAATTGATTATTAAACTAATAAACCATAAGTATTCTACTCAAGCATGTGGCTGTTATTTTCATCCAAAAACATATAAATACCTTGGGAACAACACAATGCTTTTTGTTTAATATGTTTTTCATGGGAAATCATATTTCATTCATTCATTCATTGTATGTATTCTTTGCTTCTGTGTTACTCTTGCAACAGAAAAAAACTCAACAAATACTGTTATTTAAAACATATTTGTGGCTTACACCCAGTAATTTATTACGTAAGTCTCGGTTCGAGACTACATGTGAGAGCCCGTTCTACGCATGCGTAATTTCGTTTTCGCATTGCATGCATCGAGTGTGAGATTACAATCTCATGCCTTATTCGATTGATCGATCTGTGAGCCACAAATATATTTGTAAACAATTTAAATTTCTCCCAGGAAGCAATGCATTTATACAACAACAAAAATATTGTTATGCAATGACCTGTTAAAGCCCATCTCTGCTTTTCTGTTTTTTAGGAAGTATGGTTGATTTCGCTAGGAATGGTGGGTTTGATTGGGGCAAGTGCATCAGCCATGGCAGCCCCCCTCTTCTTTGGGAGAGTGGTGGATGAGGCTGTCACTTCGACTTCGATGGGTGAGTCAGGAAAGCTTTTTTTTTTATTCTTGTGATACTCTGGAGCCCTGTTCATATATTGCAATATGATTGGTATACAAATAATGCACAAAGCTTAGTTAGTGCCCATAGTGATAATGCACGCACCCGCAGGGCACGTGCATTATCGATATCGCACTGACTAACCTAAGTGCACTGGAACTGCCCTAACACACAAGCTCTTTATCTTACGGTAACAGGCAATTGAACCCAAGCCTAAATCGTAAAAGTTGAATTATCCATCGGTGAAATGCCGCATTTATACTTGCATTTATTTTGTTTCCTCTGTGCCCCACAAACTAATGCGTGCCATTGAGCGGTCATCTTAAACTTTTTGGTCAAGTCTGATTTACGAATAGTTCACACAGTGCATCATGCCTTGTTTACGCCGAAGCTAATCATTGTTCATGCATTGTCATACATTGTTGTGCACAGCTATTCGTAGACGTTGCTCTTATGTCCAGTGTATCTACAATGTCGTAGTATGCAGATGATAATGATAAAAATAATAATAATGATAATAATAATGATGATTACAATGATGATGATGATGATGATAGTAATGATAATAATAATAATCCAGATGTACATGACATCTGTTGAAAAGGGACCTTGTACTTGAGATAATTGTTACGGATATTAAAAGTGACAGATATGAACAGGACAAATGAGTCATCTGCCACAATGGAACATTGATGATTGATTTCCTTCTATGTCTCTCTCTCTCTCTCTTTCCCTCCCTCCCTCTCTCTCTCTCTCTCTCCCCTCTCTTTCTCTCTCTCTCTCTCTCTCTCTCTGTGTTCCTTACTCCTCCTTCATTGAATAGCCGGTGTGAACAAAGTCGTACTCATCTTATTCCTCATCTTCCTTGGGGGCGCCATTTGCTCCATGATCCGCTCGTGGTGCTTCACGCTCGCCGGGACGCGAGTGGTCTGCCGTCTGAGGAACACCCTGTTTGCTTCCATCATCAGGCAGGAGGTGGCGTTCTTTGATACGAACCGCACGGGTGAACTCACGAGTCGGCTCTCCTCCGACACTCAGGTGGTGCAGAATGCCGTCACGGTAAGCTCGCATTTTCTCAGCGAAGCCTTGTTCGTTCGTTCATTCGTTTATTCCTTTCATTTTCATAAAAACACAGCAAAAGCAAATAAACATACAAGTATATATACATTCAAAGGCAGAGAATGTTCAGTTTATACGATAACTTCAAATGAAATAGGAGAAAAAAAGGAAAAGTCCATGGTGGCCTCGTTTAAAAAAGTTCCCCCAAATATTATAATTTAGTATTATTGTTACTATTATTAATGATTTTGGCTAGTCAGAGTTGTCCAAAACTTGTACAAAAATTGAGTTGGAATGAGCCTTGTTCCCACTTGAGTTTTCAGTTAACGGGCCATTTGTCACCCCAGACAATAACCTTTAGGAAAATAACGCCAACTCAATTTGTGCACATGTTTTGGACAACTCTGACTAAAGTCATAAATAATAACAATAATAATAATAATACAGGGATGCCAGTTTTCAGGCAATAGCCTGAATTCAGGCCCTAGTGAGTTATTTTCAGACGATAGTTTAGGCTTTTTTGTGTTCGAAGTAGCTCATTCTAGGTGATTTTCAGGACCTCTGATCAATTCTAACTGGCATCCCTGATAATAGTAGTAACGTGTCTTCTTTACCCAGGGTAGCCTTATCAGTATTAATACTGTCCTCCCAGAGGGTCCTGCAATCATATGATTAACCAGGGTTAAGCAGAACTACCATAAAAGGTGCTCAAACATTCAAGGAATTTCTTTCTACCAGGTACCCTTTTACTACAACTGGGTGGAGTGTGGCAAATGTAGATTAATACCTTGCCAAAAGTTATTATTCAGAGAGATATATGATAAGTGGCTAAAATTCCACTCTGTTCTCAAAGATGGCCTACTAAATCCTCTGCTTTGACTTATTTTATTTAGTTGCCAGGGGCAAGTGCTGATGTTAAGCTGATTATTTGCCCCTGTGAAGTAAATGTGTCTTTTATTGAAATCTTGAAAAATACATAATACAAATGTAATTTGGTACAGTTCTTTCTGCAATAAATTATATATATCTCTCTCCTGTCACTCTCTGCCCCCCCCCCCCTTCCCTCTCTTTCTTTCTCCCCTCTCTCTCTCTCTCTCTCTCTCTCTTTTTGTCCTCTTATTCTTCTGTTCATCTCTCTTGCTCTCTTCATCTCACCCCCCCCCCCCTCTCTCTCTCTCTCTCCCTCCCTCCCTCCCTCCCTCCCTCCCTCTCTCACTCCTTCCATTTCTCTCCTTCTCTGATATCTTTTACAGGTGAACATTTCTATGCTTGTGAGATACTCTTTTCAAATTCTGGGGTCGATTGCAATCATGTTCAGTCAAAGTGCCGCCCTTACTGGTGTGTTACTCTCTGTGGTCCCTATCATAGCAATTGGTGCAGTGCAGTATGGTAAGTATGGATATCATAATAGTAAAGTTGTTGCAGTTTATTGGCTGTGAGCGAAATATGTTTTATTAATGTAACAGTTGCTAGTGAAAATAAGCTTTATTAAACAGGACCCATGATGGTTGATGGTTGATTTTCAAAAGAGAGAATATTTTTAATTAAAATTGACCCTGAAGCCTTTGTACCATGTCTCTGGGTATGATAATTATAACTTCAGTTTAAGCCCTGCTTTCTACTTCCCCCTTTTTCTCCTTTTGTGACATTTGCCAAAGTACCAGTGATATATTAGAAATATTGGTGAATATAAGTCGCAATTTCAGTTGTCTTCCTTGTAGCATTAAAAAATCTCTTATATTTCAGGAAGATAGAGCTATTTTATTTCATTGGTTAGGTTGGACTAGATGTTGAAGTGACTCGGTAACATTGCCTCAGATTCTGAAACAAAAACCTGGTTTTACGAGCCGAGCGCCTGTCTGATTATCAAGATATTTGTGATTAGAAATTGAAATTTCATTTTTCGTTTTTCTAACAGTTTTTATAACACTACAGCCAATTGGGGAAAATGAGTATGGTAAAACTGGTCACTCTAAAGATTTTTGCTTTTTTGAGGTCATTTTGAAGTCCAATTTTTTTAGGGCTTCAATAGTACACCATATCACAGACACTGATAACACGCAAGTCCATGCATCTCACATGTAACATTGTTAAACGATGCCTTTCATACTCAGATTCCTTTATATATTTTCCATCTTTCATTAGGACGATATGTCCAGGCATTCCAGAAGAACTTTCAGGATGCCCTTGGTGATGCGGGAACTGCCGCAGAGGAAGCCCTGTCCAGCATCAGGACTTTGCGGTCTCAGGAAAATTCCCAAGTTGTCTTTCCCATAAAACTAATGTTGCTCTTCAGTTGTTAACCATTCAAATGTCTCTGTGATTTCAGGAAGATAGAGCTATTTTATTTCAGTGGGTAGGTTGGACTAGATTGTAATACCTGGAAACCTTTATTTGTCCATTTCACAGGACGATATGTCCAGGTAATCCAGAAGAACTTTCAGGATGCTCTTGGTGATGCAGGTACTGCCGCAGAGGAAGCCCTGTCCAGCATCAGGACCGTACGCTCATTCATAGGAGAACCCAAGGCCATTCAAAGCTACGAGAAAGAGATTGGCAAGAGTTATCACTACGGCAAGAGGATCGCTGCGGCAAATGGTGTGTTCAATGGCATCGTTGGACTAGTCATGCAGGTAAGAGGCATGGGAAAATGATCTTGGGGGCGTTTCACAAAACTTGTCATCAGTGACAAATGACAATTTGTGTTATAAGCTACTGAAATCCTGGCTTCTGATTGGTTATCAGCAGATTTGTCACTGATTTTTGTAATTTGTTATTGAAATAGGGCTTTGTGAAACGGGTCCCTGGTGTCTTTAGCTCCAACGATGTGCTAATATCGTTAGAATTTCCTCTATATTTGGAATGAATTTTGAGGAAATAAATTGCTAGTTTTAAGCGATCATGGTCATTCTTAGCACTGAAAAGGGTATATGCAAGAGTTTTTACTTTTCCAAGAGAATCTCTGTAGCAGATGTTGTTTTTTGTGATGGCATTGTTGGATCATTCATGTAGGTAAGGGCAGGGTAAAAACAATTAGATAATGTAGCTCACATAAGGTGGATATAAACTCCTAAAAAAAACGTTCTGCAATTAAAGTTTGTGCATTGATATCTCTCTTGTTACTATATTATCATATTGTTGCAAAAATGCATAGTTATTCTTTCGAAACACAAGCCATCTCCAAACAAATGAAGAATTCACTATTGACAATAACAGTGCATTTTGCAACATTTCTCTTTTGACTTGGCACTATATTCAGGTGTACTACACATTCCATGATTACATAATCATTGCAAATGGGGCTTCATTGTAATGGGGAATAAACAGGCTTTTCAATGATACCAACGTCAAGCATGTTGCAACATACAAATAAAATGGAATATGGTTATATGAATGCAGACCTGTCAGTTGTCCCACATTCTCGAGAGAAACAAATCCAGAAAATGCAGAATGTCTGCAATTTCTTTCTTTTTTTATCCTTAATTTTGTGACAGTTTTTGTAAACTTAAAGGTAATACAAAGTTTTGGGGAATTTTTGAAAATTGGATGGTGGTGATTCTTTTCAATTTTGATATATTTGGATGCCCCTGTGGATGTAATATAAGCACTACAAAATTTAGCCTCTAAAACACTTCTGCTTTCGAGAAAAATTGAATATAAAAATTTACCGGTGCTCCCGGTAAATTGTGATAAATTTCAAATAGCGCTGTACGGCCGCACAATGGTAGCTGCGACCATGAAAATTTCAGAATATGTAGTTGTGATATATAATTTCCAAACGGGAATAGCTAATCGGTCAATTTTAGTCAAGAAACATTGTTTTATAGCTTAATTAAAATCAACACCTTGAGAGGGAGCTATACAACATAAAGAGTTTATTATTTATAATTTCATAACTTTAGAATCGATTTCAACCGCGACAACGATCACTGAATATTGTAGGGTCGCATATGCTTCCAGTATGTTCATTTGAAACAAATTCATGACCCCATACCAAAACTTTGTATTACCTAAAAGCATTACAAATCCTTATTGTTAGACCTCTGGATACCCTTTCCTACATGCCTGAAAGTGCCAAAACCCATGAGCTTTCGGGGGCTCTGCCTCCTGGATCCCGGCCTTTATACGCTCCACTCGCATTGCTCTAATGGACTCTTGATTAGAGTTGTCCCGCATTGCAATTTGGGAAAATTAGCAGGTCTGTGAATGCTCTTTTTCTTTCTTTTTTGTTTATCAAGGGAGCTATAGCACTTGTGCTTTGGTATGGTGGCAAGTTGGTGTTTTTAAATAATAAAGACCCTACACAAGGCATTACTGTTGGACAGCTTACATGTGAGTATATCGTAAAACAAGAGGATTGTTTTTAAAGCCTGTGGTAAACTTGGCTGTTATGAGAAAAAAAAGAAAAAAAACCTGGGTGCTCATGAAACATGCCAGGCTTGATAAAAACCTGATTTAAATCCTGATTTTTCCCTTATTTTCTCTATTCTTCCCTATTTTTCCCTATTATTTCCCAATTTGTCTTACTCAAAAAGGGGGGAATGGTGTTAGATGCCATTTTTTCCCCTGGATCCTCTTCTTCTTTTTTTTTTTACTCAAGGGGGTCGTGGTTGAGGGGAATTTTTTTTTTTTTAGTGCTCACTATCACCCCTGCACATGCTCTTTATCGTCTAACTCTAATAATTGTTCTTATCTAATGGTTCAGTCTCCACGATAACCTATCCCTGGTGGTCAACAACACCACATTTCTTCTCTGACATCTAGCAGGTTGTACGACGCTTGCTCCTGCGGCGATTGCTCCACTTCGATTAAATCAATTTTAGTTACCAAATTCTTCACTCCATCCCTGGACCTAATCTAAAACCCAATTGCAACCCTAACCCTAACCTTGTACCTTTGAAAAGGTAAAGTCTGGAGCAATTGTCACAGGAGCAAAGGTTGGGTCACCACCTAGCAACATATATATATATATATGGGTCCATCCAGAAAGTTGGGGCACTTTTTGTGACAAACCAGAAGTGAGAAACAATGTCTGATATCAATTGTAACAATGTTTCCTCCAATCAAGTTTTGCATAAAAAGCATAGCCAACTATCTTCAGAAGTACTCAAGCTTCATGGCGACTCAATATCATGGACCCAAAGTTTATGCAATGTTATATGAATATGGTGTCCATGTAAGGCTGGTAAAAAGAGAAATGTGTATTAAGCAAAGATTTTGAAAAAAAAGCAACTGAAACAGGAATTATTCTGGCAGGGCACTACTATATATAATCATTGCATAAAATCCTCACCAGATAATTTCATCTTCCATGTGTAGTAGAAGATCTCGTACCTATGTTACATGGACACCATCATATATTTTTTGCTTTATGGAATGACGCATATTCTCCCTTTCTAAATTGCCATAGCTATGCGCGCTTAAAAAGTCCTTAGTGAATTTCATGACCACAAATTTGACTAATTAGAGGCCTAGAATCAGACATGCGGTATATAACAACATAATATTCTCCCTCTTCATGATAGCTTTCATGCTTTACACTTTGAACGTGGCCATGGCCTTCGCCTTCTTGTCGGCCCTCTACGGTGACTTCATGAAAGCCGTAGGAGCGTCGGAGAGGATCTTCATGCTGATGGACAGGAAACCGGAGATCCCCGAAGAGGGAGGCCAAGAGATCATGGACTTTACTGGGGAGATCTCTCTGGAAACGGTCACTTTCACTTATCCATCAAGACCAGAAACTAAGATATTACAGGTCAGGTTATATGAAATTAGTAAAGATTTGTTGTTGTTGTTATGACTACCGGTAATTAAGCCAGCCATAAAGGTGTCACCCTTCCATCAAATTATTTTTGATGCATTTTGATGCATCTTTGAATTCTGATGCATCTTTGTATTCTGATGCATTTTTGTCACTGTTGTGATTCTAGTAATGGTAATGGGAATGCTGATGTTTATGGTGGTGATATTGATGAGGATGCAATGATGATGTCATTGTTAATGATAGCATTGATGATGATAATTATGATGATGATAATCATTGATGGAGGAAGCTGGTTGCAAAATCTACAGTGGTGCCCCAACGGTCGGCCAGACTACGGGACAGATGAGATGAGATGATAATCATTGATGATAATGACATGATGATGATCATTGATGATAATGACAGTGATGATGATGACAGTGATGATGATGATCATTATAATAATGGTAATGATGATTTTATTGTTGTTAATGACACGATGGAGATGATGAGGATGATGATGACAACACTAATGATGTATTTCTCTTCTATGAAAACAGGATGTCAGTTTTGAGGTACAGCCTGGTCAGATGGTTGCCCTCGTAGGTCCATCAGGGGGAGGCAAGTCTACCATTGTCAATCTATTGGAGCGATTCTACTTTCCAGATTCTGGACAAGTCAAATTTAGTAAGTAGGATCCTGTCACATTTCTCAAAACGTAAATTAGCACAGTAATAGAAATTTAACTCATTGACTCCTGGAACCTAGTGGCTCCTGTATTAACCCTATGGGTAAGAGAGAATTCAGTTGTCAACCGGTTGGGAATTTTAATAATAGACGATTCACATTGATCAGGCTGTCAACTGAAGACAAATTTCCATATGTGCATATCTGTTGTCATGCTTATCAGCTTATTATTACATTTTTGGTAGCTTTTATAACTATGATAAAAGTTTTGCCTTTCCTAACTACTCATTTATTGCATACATATTGAAATGGACCAGAAGTGACTAAGGCACCAAGCTATCCCACAGTCCATTTGAAATTGGGACATGAAATTTACATCTGGTCATTTTGGGATATTGGCAATACCAAGAATTGAATTCTAGATGGTGTTGATCTAGCATGCCTCAATCCTAGATGGTTTGGATTCTTTTCAAAATTGATGTATTTGTAATTTTTCTTTATATCTTTGAACCTTTCAACTTTGTAATCTTTGTTTGTATCAGTTTCCCCGACTGTTTTAACAAAGAATTTTGATTCAATAAACAGAAATGAATGAATGAATGAATGAATATTAGACAAAGGATCTCATTGCTCTCTTTGCCTGTTCTATGGGAGATAACGCATCATATCCTTGTTTTTGTAAAGGTGGTGTCGATTTTGCAATCCTCTATTTTTGTATGGTCTAGACAAAGAATTCTCTTTGCCTGTTCTATCAGAGATAACATATCATATATCCTTGATTTTGTGAAGTTGGCGTTAATCCAGCAAACTTTAATTTTAGATGGATTAGACAAAGGATCTCATTGCTATAAAGCCAATTCTCTTTGCCTGTTCTATCAGAGAAACATAGCATATATCCTTGATTTTGTGAAGGTGGTGTCGATCCAGCAAACCTCAATTTTAGATGGTTTAGACAAAGGACATCATTGCTCTCATTACTCTCTTTCCCGGTTCAATCAGAGATAACATATCATATATCCTTGATTTTGAAAAATGTAGTGTCAATCTAGGAAACCTCAATTTTAGATAGTTACAGTAATACAAAGAATCTCATTGCTAAGCCAATTCTCTTTGCCTGTTCTATCAGAGATAATATATCATATATCCTTGATTTTGTGAAGGTGGTGTCGATCTAGGAAACCTCAATTTTAGATGGTTTAGACAAAGGATCTCATTGCTAAGCCAATTTTCTTTGCCTGTTCTATCAGAGATAATATATCATATATCCTTGATTTTGTGAAAGTGGCGTCGATCTAGGAAACCTCAATTTTAGATGGTTAATTCAAAGGATCACATTGCTAAGCCAATTCTCTTTGCCTGTTCTATCAGAGATAACATATCATATATCCTTGATTTTGTGAAGGTGGCGTCGATCTAGCAAGCCTTGATCCTAGATGGTTTAGACAAAGAATCTCATCGCTAAGCCGATTCTCTTTGCCTGTTCTATCAAAGATAACATATTATATATCCTTGATTTTGTAAAAGGTAGTGTCAATCTAGGAAACCTCAATTTTAGATAGTTACAGTAATACAAAGAATCTCATTGCTAAGCCGATTCTCTTTGCCTGTTCTATCAGAGATAACATATCATATATCCTTGATTTTGGGAAGTTTGCATCGATCCAGCAAACCTCAATTTTAGATGGTTTAGACAAAGGACATCAGTGCTAAGCCAATTTTCTTTGCCTGTTCTATCGGAGATAACATATCATATATCCTTGATTTTGTGAAGGTGGTGTCGATCTAGCAAGCCTTGATCCGAGATGGTTTAGACGAAGAATCTCATCGCTAAGCCGATTCTCTTTGCCTGTTCTATCAAAGATAACATATTATATATCCTTGATTTTGTAAAAGGTAGTGTCAATCTAGGAAACCTCAATTTTAGATAGTTACAGTAATACAAAGAATCTCATTGCTAAGCCAATTCTTTTTGCCTGTTCTATCAGAGATAATATATTATATATCCTTGATTTTGTAAAATGTATTGTCAATTTTGCAAGCCTCAACTTTAGATGGTAATAGACAAAACATTCTCTTTGCCTGGTCTATCAGAGATAACATATCATATATCCTTGATTTTGTGAAGGTGGCGTCGATCTAGCAAGCCTTGATCCTAGATGGTTTAGACGAAGAATCTCATCGCTAAGCCGATTCTCTTTGCCTGTTCTATCAAAGATAACATATCATATATCCTTGATTTTGTGCAGGTGGCGTCGATCTAGCTAGCCTTGATCCAAGATGGTTTCGACAAAGAATCTCATCGCTAAGCCGATTCTCTTTGCCTGTTCTATCAAAGATAACAAATCATATACATGTATCCTTGATTTTGTAAAAGGTAGTGTCAATCTAGGAAGCCTCAATTTAAGACGGTAATACATACCTGCCAACCACCCCGATTTAGGCGGAGTTTCTCCGCATTTTTCATACCAACTCCGAATTCCGAGTGCATGCCTCAAAACTCCGATTTTTTTTAATTTTATTTATTTTATCTTTTTTATTTATTTATTTTTTTTTTTAATAATTTTTTGTAAATTAATATTTTGTGTGTGCGTCCGCCATTTTCAATGGCAAAATGTCCATTCTGTCCTGTAAAGTATCCTACAAGCATCTCACATCAGCAATTTGGGGATGTTTATTCATACCTGCGTACAGCCCACGTGTATTTATATTACATGTGCAGTCAGGGGCGTACGCAGGATTTTTTCAAGGGGGGGGGGGGTTTTAAAATCGGGCCCAAAATATTTTGCTCCCGAAAAATTTAAAATCGCGCCGGCCGAAAAGTCGCTCAGGGGGGGGGGTAAGCGGACACTTTTTTTTTTTTTTTGGTTTCGAAATTTGAAAATTTGACATTTTTCTTCGTTGGGGGGGGGGTAAGGTCACCTTTTTTAGGTTAGCCGTGGGCATATATATATATATATGTATATATATTTTTTTTTTTTTTTTTTTTTTTTAAACTAATAAAAAAAAAATTAAAAAAAAAAACCAAAGGGGGGGGGGGGGGGGGGGGTTTAGGTTTTTTTTAGGGGGGGGGTTCACACACATAAAAATACCAAAGGGGGGTGTGAACCCCCCCCCCGTGCAGTTGATACGCCGTGCATAAACACTGTATACATTGGCGTGTTTTCTTCAATGCTTGTGCGATGACTGCGATCGTGGAAGCTTGTTATTTACCGGACTTCCTCAGATTTATTTTGGATTACTACTACTATATACCTTTGCAAAATAGGGCTCCTAACTGAGGTGGGTAGTGAAACATGTAGTTTTGTGAGTGTTCACATTTCAAAAATTGTTTATGTGTGGGGCGAAAAGGTTGAAGGAAAAGGCCCATTTGCACCATTAAAATGGAGAGAAAAAAAAATAGACCCTAAAGTGCTGTGTACCCCCCCCCCCCCCCCCCCCCCCCAATCTACGGGCTACTACCCCAATCCTTCGGTGGTTCACGACCTCGTAGTCCATCCAGAAAAATTTACTCCTAATTTCTCTTGTCTCAGGTTGGCAGGTATGGTAATAGACCAAACATTCTCTGTGCCTGGTCTATCAGAGATAACATATCATATATCCTTGTATCCTTGATTTTGTGCAGGTGGTGTCGATCTAGCAAGCCTTGATCCTAGATGGTTTAGACAAAGGGTCTCATTAGTGAGTCAGGAACCGGTACTCTTTGCGTGCTCCATCAGAGATAACATCTCATACGGCAGGAACGCTACAGATGATGAGGTGAGATATATAGATTGCCGTTATGATGAATATTACTTATTATATCCTGCATCAAAAACTTGTTTGCTTTTGATTGGTTGAGAGCTCGTCACATGACCAAAAATATTTGAGCTATTTTTAGAAAGTACTATATGAGAGTACTATTTTGGTTTACTATATGGGAGTTGAAAAAAAAATGTGATTTTTTTTTGGGGGGGGGGTGGGGGATTGAATTTTTTTTTTTTAAATCTTAATTCAATGAAAACAAAACATTTTAAATCTTTTTAGATAAAAATTGACATATTTTTGTTCTAAATTTTTTTTCTTCCCAAAATTTTTTTTCTAATTTTTTTTTAAAATAAAATAAATTTTTGATTGCAGGATATAAAACAAATATACCATGCCTCAAATCGAGGTACTGGTTAAAACTATGGGCCTTGGCGACTCCAGAAGTACCATTTGCTTCGGGGCTGCGCCCCTAAGCAAATAGTACTATTGGAGTAGGAAAAGTGAATAAAATATATAATTTTGTAAAACATGACATATATATATATATATATATATATATATATATATATATATAAGCAAAAATCAAAATATATATTTATTGTAATATAAAAGTGAATAAAATATATAATTTTGTAAAAAATTACATATATATATATAAGCAAAAATCAAAGTATATATATATTTTAAAATATATCATGAATATATTTATGATAGGAAAAGGAACAATATACATGTATGTGAGGAGAGGAAAAGGAATAATGTATTTGGGATAGGAAAGAGGAATGAGATATCAAGAAAAGGAAGCCTGATTGCTCAGTGGTAAAGGACTGGGGGGCGTTTCACAGAACTTGTCATCAGTCACATATGATAGTTTTTGTTATAAGCTACTGAAATCCTTGCTTCTGATTGGTTATCGGCAGATTTGTCACTGATTTTTGTCATTTGTCATCGAAAAAAGGCTTTGTGAAACCGGTCCCTGGTCTTATGAACAGGAGGTCTAGGGTTCTAATTGAAGTATGTACCCATAGTATGCCCTTTGTTACCGGGTATACAGATTTATTTGCCCCTTTGCAACCGTGAAGTTCTATGTAGAAAACTGTGTACATGCGTCCGATGAAAGGGGCAGTTAAAAACCTCATTGGCGTTGAATTTGTCCTTCCTTGATGCCCAAAATATCTTGAGATGTACAGTGTATCTTGAATGTTTATTTAGGTGGTTGCTTTAGAGGGGTTTAGTGTAGTCAATTTTGAATCTTTGTCTATTTAACTTTCATCCTTAACCATCGTATCTTCTTCTCCCACAGATCTATGAAGCAGCTAAGATGGCCAACGCACATGAGTTTGTGACAGGTTTCGAGGAGGGGTACGACACCATGGTCGGTGAGAGGGGGATCATGCTCTCGGGAGGTCAGAAGCAGCGACTGGCCATCGCTAGAGCTCTTATTATGGATCCTACGGTACTATTGCTCGATGAGGTGAGATTAATCGCCTACTTGTGACAAGGGCACTTATTAAAGCCCCACTGAACTACTTGTATCTACTTGCGCCCTCTATATAGCAAACAATGCCTAAGCGGTACCCGTTGGTCCCCCATGATCCCCTTTTTCTTATGTTAATTGAGAGCTGATTTGGTGAGATAACCACCTGTCAATGACCTCACAGGGTGGTCTTATCCCTCCTGGCCAAACTAGTGCAGATGGGCTTTAGCACTTTTAAGTGAAAAGAAAAAAGAAACTGTAGAGTACAAGGCATATGTGTCTGTGACATTTCCTCTCTGGTTATCAAGAACAAATGAGGCACTTCCTCTATGTAATTTTTTCTGCATGTATGGTTCGTGAAATCAAGGACTAATTTTCATCAATATAAATTTTAGCAACATATTTCATACAATGAATTGATTACATTTGCATGTGTCTTCTTGCCATAACACATCTCTTTTTGTTTTATAACCCCAAAATAGCAAGATATCTATGAATTGATATTTAATGATTCCCCACTCCCCCCCCCCCCCCCCCAAACAAAAAAATAATAATAATAATAACAATAACATTAATAACGCTAATAAATAAGAAGAAAAAGAGGAAGAAGAAAATATTAAAATACTAAATTAAAATATAAATAACTATATGATAAAAATACTAATTTTTAAAAAAATAATGGTAAATAAATGAATAAATAATAAGGAAAACCTTTTGCAGATTTTTTCAACCATTCTCATCTACTGTGTTTGCCAAATGTAAACAATGGACAATAACATGCCATGTGATTCATGAAATGAAAACATCCACTACCATCAAGTGATATCTGCCCTGTGTTGTTTTGTGTTGTCTAGGCAACGAGTGCCTTGGATGCTGAGAGTGAGCATCTGGTACAGGAGGCTATCGACAGGGCCATGGTAGGGAGGACAGTGCTCGTCATTGCTCATCGACTATCGACAGTCAAACATGCATCTCAGGTGAGTACGGCAGACAGAGACTTCCCATGTTTGGATTATACAGAAGGCTTGCGGGTGCACCATGTGAGAGAGAGGGAGGATTGAGGAGTCTTGAAAAGGACTCTTGGTAATCTTTCTTGAGGGTTTGTAGTCCTGAAAAGGACTGTTTGGTTTAGTCTTGAAAAAGACTGTTGGTTATCTTTCTTAGCTTATAGTTCTAAGGAGAACTATAGCACTTGGAGAGGATGAGTGGCGGGAGTGGCTCAACATTTCGAACAGGTTGACTATTCATCGTCGGATAGTCAACCTGTTCAAAACCTTTTTCAACACTATACCAAACAGTCCTTTTCAGGACTACAAACCCTCAAGAAAAATTGCAGAGAGTCCTTTTTCAGGACTCCTCAATCCTCCCTCTCTCTCTCACATGGTGCACCCGCAAGCCTACTGTATATCTACATCACCACGCAAGCTGACACTTACAAGCAGCATCTAAGTATGGATTAGTTTTCTGGTTTTACTCACGTTTCAAGGCGTATGCAAGCTATTGCTATTCTACTGTAAAACCTGTGACTTTCTCAATATGAAACTATCTCAAATTATCATATTATCAATGCATAAATAAATAATGTGAGGTACATTATCTACATATATGTTAGAAGCTACCATCCATCGTCCATCCATTATTTTTGATAATCATTACATGATTATGAGACCATGTGGACAGTAGACAGGCTGGGTGGTATTCTCTAAAGCGGACTAACTTTAGTCCATGGTTTAATCCACCGACTAAGTATGGAATGCCAAGTGTCCATATGAATATATTTTTGAATACTTTAATATGTCCCTAAATTACCATGATAACATAATTATATCATAGTTTATTGTTGTTTATAAATTATGTTATTTCATGATTCAAAAACATATTCATATGGACACTTGGCATTCCATACTTAATTGGTGGACTAAACCATGGACTAAAGTTAGTCCGCTTTCGAGAATACCATCCGCTGGGTTTAGACCATATGGGAATAGACTAATTGGGTAGTAGACGAACTGGTTGTAGATAGGCTAGTTGTAGACCAATTGGCGATTCACCGTTGTATTTCATGTTCCTTGAAGTAGACCACAGGACACTCATTCTTTGATACAGAGCATTGTTAATGCATTGTCGGGTCATTCACACTACTCTTCTTTCACTATATTTCATATTCCTTGAAGTAGACCACAGGACACTCGTTATTTGATACAGAGCATTGTCAATGCATTGTCGGGTCTTTCACACTACTCTCCTTCCATTCTACCAGGTGATCGTGATCAAGAAGGGCAAGATTGCTGAGAAGGGTACCCACCAGGAGCTACTTGACAAGGGTGGGGTCTACAAGAAACTGGTGCTGAGGCAGCTCAGTACCGGAGGAGGAGGTGGGGGCGTGGCCGAGACGGTCTCCAACGAGAAGAATGGTAACATCGATGAAGAATTGGATGATATAGATGAGGCGGATGAAGATTAGATTAGGGCTCTAGCTTTGATGTCTCGGGAGGACAATGGACCAATCGGGGAAATTTTTATTATTGAAATTGAAATGTTGCTGTGGATGAGAAGAAGACTAGGTGTGAAACTATGAACAAGTTTGGCAAGTTTGAAATTGGAAATGGAAATTGGAAATTGAGATCGAAATGTAGTGTGGACAATTTGGATGAAAATTGAGAAATGGATCTTTGATGTCTTGGGAGGAGAATGGATCAATATAGCAAAATTTGAATTTGAATTTGAAATAAATATGAGATGGATTACGACTGAAAATGACATATCATATCTAGTATCAAAATAAACAAAATTTACCATTTAAATTTAAATTCTAATTCAAATTTGAATTAGAAATCGAAAATGTTGCTTTGGGTAAAGATTGATGAAGATTAGAGATGGTGCAATAAAAAAAAAAGAACAAATATGGTTATTTTGAAAATAGAATTTGGAAATTGAAATGTTGCTTTGGATGAGATGAAGATTATCAAATGATAGAGGAGAAGGGACCAATATGGTAATGTTAACATTGAGACTTGAAATTGAACTTGGAATTCAAAGTTGAATTGGAATTGGAAATGTAGATTTTGATAAACTGCATGAAGATGAGAGTGGAGGAGAATGGACAAATAATGTAATTATAAGATTGAAATTGATAATGAAACATAACAAAATTTAAATTTAAATTTAAATTATAATGTAACTCGTTTAGGAATGTCAGAGATGCAGCTATCGATTTATCGAGAAGAATGAATCAAATAGTAATTTCGAAATTGAATTGAAATTGAAATGAATAATTTAAGTATTTATATGTAACTTCGGATTGAATAGAGGAAGATTTGAAAATCGACCTATCATATGTTTAGAAGAGTGGACCAATATGCTAATTTTACATATGAAATTAGAATTGGAAAAATTAAATTGAACTCTAGCTGTGTATCAGATTTATTAACTTGTAAATTTGAAATGATATCCAAGAATTAATTTGATTTGGATTTAGGTTAACAAAATTTGCTGCCTTTCAGATCGATTGTTCCAGGGTAAAACAATTAGATTTCGGATTTCAGCAATTTGTAATTTAAGTAAATGTTAATTTTCCTGGAATAGGTTGTGGGAAATTGTGCTGCATGTAAGTAGATTAAACATCTGCATATTTTTTAATTTTAATGAAACAAAACACATTCTCTTGAAGAGCAGTGTATAGAAGCTCATTTGCTTAAAGGAGTGAAAGTACACTTGTATGCAGTTGATGATTATGTAACAATAGCAGGAAATATTTCTGATTAATCTCTGATACTTTGCCTGTAATTGATGAACCTGGTGCAATAAATTAAACAGCCAGTAAATGTAAAAAAGAGATTATATTAGCACACTAAATGTTAAATATATAATTGTTACAAACACTGTTATATATCTGATGTAACATTATTTACAAACACTGTTAAATCAGATGTTAAATGTTTACATTGACTTTTACATGATTAATATGTGACTTTGTTATAAACAGTGATGCACAAACACTGTTGCATGATAAATCTGATGTAACATTCTTACAAACACCATTACATCTTACAGTATGTAACATTGCTACAAACATTGTCATATCTGATTACAAACACTGTTACATCTGATGTGACATTCTTACAAACACCATTACATCGTACAGTATGTAACATTGCTAAAAACATTGTCATATCTGATTACAAACACATCTGATGTGACATTCTTACCAACACCATTACATCTTACAGTATGTAACATTGCTACAAACATTGTCATATCTGATTACAAACACTGTTACATCTGATGTGACATTCTTACAAACACCATTACATCTTACAGTATGTAACAATGCTACAAACACTGTCATATCTGATGTAATATGTTTACAACCACTATTACATCTGATATAACATTGCTACAAACACTGTCATATCTGCTGTCACATTGTTACATACACTGTTACATCTGATGTATTGCTTTAGATAGCTATGTAAACAATTTAGGAGATGAGGTATGACCACTGGCTAATTGACAGTATGAAAGCATACTAGGTCCATGATGAAAGCGTGTTTAGGAATGACTAAATCGAGTTGCCAAGATAGAATAAAATTATAAGTAGGTTTTGCTCTTTTATAAAATAAACTGATATACCAGTATGTTATGAGTTTTGATTAGCCAAGTGTTTTAACCCTTACTGTACTGGGGGGGGGGGGGCCTGGGAGGCCCCCCCCTCGACATTTTCGGAGATTGCGCCACAACCGCTCAGAATTTTGAATTGTCGTTTCATGACTTTTTTCCCTCAAGTCTTACGCACATTTTGATACCATTTTCGTAAAAATCGGATATACCTGTAAGGTGTTACATAACAATTAGTATGCGCATGTCATCAAAAAAGTGCTATAATTGCATATATTCATGTACAAGCAGAAATGTGAAGCTATGAATTGATATCAAATTGCTTTTATATGTTTCTCAAAGTAACTTGATGTATTTCAGAACAAAAGAATACATTAGAAATAAAACAATAGATATAATAAGAAATAAAAAACAATAAAATACATAAGAAAATAAATAGTTGAAAATCGCATCAAATTTGCATAAATTATCATTATTAATTACTTCAAATAACTTTTTTGTGATAGAAAAGAAGTTTCATTTGAATAATGAGTAACAACATTCAAAAAGTGGAGTCTGACAATTTTTGTAAGGATTCTAGTTTCCGATATATATTTCCGGATTTGATATTCATGAATGCATATTCATAATTTATGCAAATTAACCTATCAATTTTCAAATATCATAAAAATAATGAAACCTCATGAATTTGAGATGAAGGAAACATTTATTCAATACATTTTCAAGATTCTTCACAATTCTACGGACAAATATGTAGAGTTTTCTGTAAAATGCATAAAATTAGCATTTTGCATAATTAATTAGGCTATAACGACAAAAATTTGCATATTAGCGAAAAACTAATTATACCATCTTGTTCCTTACGTAAATATCTACAAACATGCAAATTTTCGCGTTCATCGGACATTCGACGGCCGAGATCATAGGGGGGGGGGCCTCCCAGGTCCCCCCCCCCCCCCCCAGTCAGAGAGTGCTCGAAATAGCCCAGTACAGTAAGGGTTAAAGACATCTTTGTGGGACATGTGAACCAAAATAATTCCTTTTTTGTTTGTTTCCATATTAGGTGGAGTTTTTGTAATAGCAAAAGCAGTCTGACCTTTGCAAGTGAATGTCAGAGTGATGTGGCAGGTTACATGTGATTTTGGGGATGCTTCGTTTATTTTGATGGGATAGAGTAAGGTGGGGTATTTTTAATGGAAGTTGCGCATCAAGTAATGATGAAGCAGCAGTTTTTGGGAGGTGGTGAATCATAAATCATGCTGACCCCTACTCTGATGATAATCAGCCTCGGGTCAACTTCAAATCAAGCCACAAACAGTTTTACCTACCATCAATATTAAATTAACTAAAACTCAATCGCAAACAAATCCCTAACCCTAAAGCTTGGAGAAAGTGTCATAATAGCCAATATAGGATCATCAGAAACACTGATCATAGTGCAATTTTTCATTTTAGGCTTTGAAATAAAAAAGAGAGATCATGAAAAAATGATAGAGGTCTTTAAATGTTTTTAAAAGCCTGGTTCTATTGGTATCGTCTCATCAAGCAGGATCTTTATATAGTAATACTCATGCCTTCTCTGCAATGAGAATTGATGTTGCAGTGGACCGGGGACAGTTATTTTATCAAGGGGGTGCAAGTAATTATGCATGTACATGTATGTAATAAAAAAGGCCGTCTTTCAGTGTAATCTACACACACTTTTGTAGCTTGTAGGTGGTATTCTCTAGACTAAGTAGACTAAGTATAGAATGCCAAGTGTCCATATGAATATGATTTGAATAATTTAATCTGTCACTAAATTTAAATAAAATGTTATAACATAACTCATAAACAAACATATAACTATGATATAAATATGTTATCATGGTAATTTAGGGACATATCAAATTATTCAAAAATATATTCATATGGACACTTGGCATTCCATACTTAGCATACATGCCAACTGTTCAGATTAAAGAGGAACATTCCTCTTTTTGGAAGAAGATAATTATCATTTTAATGCAGGTGTTCCTCTTCCTGTACAAATTTGTCTGTAGTATTGAATAGGAGAGTTAGGATTGTTCCTCTTTTTTTTTAAAATCGCATAATTTGTACATGCAGATTTCTGATTTTCAAATGTTGGCATGTATGACTTAGTTGGTGGATTAAACCATGGATTAAAGTTAGTCCGCTCTCGAGAAGTGTGTTTTGGTATAGATCCAGCAATACCAGGTGATGTATTGTTGAATTAATGTAGTGTGAAAGTCAGATTGTCAAGTTCCTTTGCTTTATGATTGGTGCCAGTCAATGAAAAGATATATTTCCTTGTGTTTTCTCGTGCAGCTTATCAGTCATAACCTTTTCTATGTACACTGCAGTAGTATGTCTGGAAGACTAGAACCATTACTATTGTGTTGAAGTCTTTGAACGATGTTAGTCAACCCACGAAGCACACTACACGATCCGACTACGATCCGAATTTGGAAGAATTTGTGATAGCCGCTTCTTAAGAACGTATAAACATGTAACATCTTAATGATCAAATTTCTGAAAAGTCTGAAGTTTGTCGAAAAATTACTGGGGAACTATTTAGAAAAAAAACTTTTAAATGGAAGTAGTTTTTAGACTTCCTGGTACCTGGTATGAGAGTATAGTGAGCATTTTAATACTCAGGAGCTCCTGTTCATGTGTTACAATGTAGGAACTAACATGTACATGCAAGTGTAATGAAAAGTTTCTGCATATTTTTAACGAGAAAAATACTTTTTTAGACGTTGCCTCCTTTTGTCAAAGTTTGCCAGCATACATGCACCAGGTTTTTGTAAGCACAGGTATCCATAATCGATGGTACGCAACACTTCTTGCAGAGGAGAAAAAATTGAATGCCTTTATTGCTAATGTTCAAATTTGTAAATTGGTAAAACGTGATCTCTCATCATTGCATTGTAACTTGTATTCATACATTGTTTACCTTTATAGTGTAGCATATTAATAAATATAAGAATGTAGGTTCAATTTGTTTAAACACTGTATCTATAATCAATGATACGCAGAGAATTCTCTCATGGCTGCCAAGCAATTGTGGGGATTGTCTTACCGAATGAAGAAACTGGCAAGCCATGACAATTATTATTAATTATGATACCCGTTAGATTGATTTCTTCTTTTTGTCCCCCTTTTTTGTAATTTTTCAATGAAGACCAGTACTTTGTTAATATTCTTTGATCGATTTTAATGCTGTTGAGTGAATTAAATATGTTATTGAAAGAGATTAGCATTCAAAAAATGTAATTTTAGTGTGGTATTGTATTTGCTATGGTCACATGTATTCGACTGTTTTCGCCTGTCTTATCAAGCATTTGTCAATGGTGTATGTTTGCTACTGTCATTTGTAAACTCATTTTGTTGTCAAATCATCAAGTTAACATATTTTTAACAGGTTTTCGGACTTACTATCTTAAG